GGGAAGGCAAGCACACAGTGATGCTTTCCCATACGTAGTTGGCAGCTGCCTAAGCCAAAGGATGGCTCTTTTAATAGCCCCAAAGCCTTGGATTTCAGGCACAAGCTTTTTGTCTGTGGCTTTTGCAGTTGTTCAGAGCAGGTTGGGGAGTTGGGTCTCCAAGTTGTGTGGCTTCTGCTGCTCCTAGCAGCAGAGGTTGACCAGGGACCTGGTTAGGAGGCTCCAAGACAAGGAGACACCACTGCTTTGGATTTAGAGGCATGGATGCTCTTAGCTCCTTCTTGCTCCAAGGCTTCAGTGTCTTGAGGCCCAGAAGTCCTGGGGAAGGCAGGGACAGACTTAAACAGGATCAACATGCTGAAAGCTTCTCTTCAGCCATCCAAAGCTGGTTCCATTTCCTCCACCTTCCCCAAAAGGGGATGGCTCTGAGTGGGCTGGAGTTGGAACTGCTGCCTCTTTCTCCAGGTGCAACGGTGGTTACCCCTCCGGCGCGTGGAGGTACTGGACGGAGAGGGGCCTCGTGTCCGGGGGTCTCTACGATTCCCATGTGGGTAAGTCCTGGCAGATACCCTTGTGAAACATCTCTGCTGCTTCTGTGTCTATGGCTCCTGGTCGCCCCTTTTGGACAAGGGTCCCTGAGCAGCACTGCAGGAATGAATCAGGCTGTGAATTTTTTGTTGTTGCTGGTTTTGGACCAGCTCAATACGCTTTGGATGAGGGCAGGAGTCTTCCTGACATGTTTCCTCCTCAAAAAGCAACTTCCAGACTGGAAATGTCTGCCTCCTCCTAGCATGGCCATGAGTTGGTTCATGTTTTCATCTTTTCCCTCACCTTGTCAGGAGGGAGGTGGGGAATGAATCAGGCTGTGAATTTTTTGTTGTTGCTGGTTTTGGACCAGCTCAATACGCTTTGGATGAGGGCAGGAGTCTTCCTGACATGTTTCCTCCTCAAAAAGCAACTTCCAGACTGGAAATGTCTGCCTCCTCCTAGCATGGCCATGAGTTGGTTCATGTTTTCATCTTTTCCCTCACCTTGTCAGGAGGGAGGTGGTGGGAAGCAGGTCCAGAGGGAAACCCATTGCCGATGCAGGGATTGCTCATGTGGCGGCGGAAGACCTACTCTTGCTCGCACCCCACTGATCTGTGGGGTTTCTGAGTCAGAAAGGTCGTACCCTTTCTTGGGGCATCTGGTGCCTTCTCTAGCATGGCTGTTGGACAGGGGTGCTTGGGGATGGCCAATTCATGCCGCCTCTGTCCTCGACAGGCTGCCGTCCCTACTCCATCCCACCCTGCGAGCACCACGTCAATGGCTCCCGGCCACCGTGCACCGGGGAGGGAGGGGAAACCCCCAGGTGCAGCCGGCACTGCGAACCTGGCTACTCGCCCTCGTACACGGAGGACAAGCACTACGGTAAGGGGGGTGGCCTCCAATGCTGCTCGATGCACAGCAGCTCCAGAGCTGCTCCTAGTGGTAGCTCGGTGGGGTTGGCGGGGTTGGACCTCTTCCTAAGCTGTTTTATGGTGGCTATTTTCCGTGCACTCAGGATGGGTGGTCCTGGAGCAAACATAAGCCTGGCAGATGCATGGTTTGTATTTGCTGAGACTCAGCTGAGATGGGGGAACTGATTTGAGTCCTCGCGGTGCACCTGCCTGGGTTGAAGAACATGGTGCTGAGCCCTGGGTGGCTGGTGTTAAAGCCACTTCCTTCCTACTCCTTGGTGGTAGCCAGCACTGTACCTGTAGGAGAGTCTGGCTGCTTCTTGGAGATTTGCCTTAGACTTGAGTAATTTGGTTTGTTTTGGAAAGAAGGATGTACAAGGGGACAAACTCCTTTCCCGATGAAGCTGTCTGGAATAGGTCTTCGGGTACAGAATAGGATTCAGGTTAAATCATTCCCTCTGGAAGAGGGATGGTTGGAGCCTGCTTTCCCTGCCTGGCTGTGTCAGGGCCTCTGGAGCAGCTGGGTTTGAATTCGGCCTTTAAGTGGAGAAGGCCTCTTGCAGGGGCATGCTGAGCAGTCTCTGTCCAGCCATCCCAAGACCTGTGTACCCTGGTGGTGCCATACTAATGGTGGGACTTTTTTTTTCTCCATAGGCATCACATCCTACAGTGTCCCTCGCAGTGAGAAGGAAATCATGGCTGAGATCTACAAGAATGGCCCAGTGGAAGGAGCCTTTATTGTCTACGAGGACTTCCTGATGTACAAGTCTGGTGAGCATCAGCACCAAGGCTGTTAGGGAGCCCTGTTCCCTACTTCATCCATAGGGTCTGTCTTTTGTGGCCCTTGTGTCTCTACTCAAGTCTGAAAGGAGATCTCAAGTTCACACTTGAGTAAACAAGTGTTGCAAGAACATGGGCAGATACCAACCATGTCTTGTATCCATTTGCTTATAGCAAGGGCAATAGGTGCTTGGGACTGGCTCAGGGAGGAAGCCCCAGTGGGGACCCCGCCAGAATTGTGGCTGAGAACAACAGCTAGCATTTTAGGTGAAATCCTGGCAGATTGCTCTCCTGGTGTGGCCTCAATCCCCTGTTCCTGGGGTGTGCTGCCTTTGGGGCCCTTGCTGAGCGTCTCTGGGTGCCCTGCGTGATGAGCTGATGCTTAGCATCAGTCCTTCCTCCAGACTCTCCATTAAGCTTCAGGTTTCCATTTAACCAAAAAACCTTCTCAGCTGGTCTCTGGGCTTTGATCTCAAAGGTCTCACAAGCTGGCAGTGGTCTGAAGCAGGGGGAGATGCGGCGCCCGTTGACGCGTTGGCTTGTTGCCTTGCAGGGGTCTACCAGCACGTGTCCGGCGAGCAGGTTGGAGGCCACGCGATCCGGATCCTGGGCTGGGGGGTGGACAACGGCACTCCGTACTGGCTGGCCGCCAACTCCTGGAACACCGACTGGGGGGACAATGGTGAGGCCACCCCTGGATGCTGCCTGTGGGTGGGGGGCTGCCGAAGGGAACCCTCTCCCCGTTCTCCTTGGTGCGGTAGGGAGGTTGACTTTTGCTCTTGGTGTGCTTCCAGGCTTCTTCAAAATCCTCCGAGGAGCGGACCACTGCGGCATCGAGTCCGAGATCGTGGCCGGCATCCCCAGCACGGAGCAGTACTGGAAGAGGGTGTAACCTTCTTGATCAAACCACAAATAATCCTGAGTCCCTGATGCTTTTAACTGATAGCGGGTTGGGTGCAGAGCCCCCCTCCTCTAAGAGACTATAGTTGAGGTTACTTTATTAAAGCTTTTTATCTTTTTTTTGGATTTTTTTTTTTTTTAATTGTATGGTGTTGCTGGAGGTGGAACTGCTCTCTGCAAGCCCTCTGCTCCTGGTGGGTCGCAGCTATGGGGCATTCCCTGCTCAAAGGACTGCTGGAGGGCTCGCTGGCCTCTCGCACCATGGCATTTGGTTAGCCTGGACCCCTTCCAGCCCACTCTGTTACTGGGAGGGTAGGAAGCAGTAGCTTTGTGCTGGGACTAGGGATTTGATGGGGCAGTGGAGATGGATCCTGCTGGGAAGCCACGGCCAGGGGTGATTTGTGCAGCCCTGGCTGGGTTGGTCTGACTGTTGGCATGCGCAACAAGGAGGGTATGTTAGCATGTGCCTTGAATTGGCTAAACTTAGGCCTATTGGTGACAAAATACTGACGAACTTGATGTGGGGCTGGCTCTGACCTGAGCTGCATTAAGGCCCCTCCCGCCTGCAACAAGTCCTTTGCGCATCGCTTGCTCTGCTCTGTCCTTTTGGCTGTTTTTTTTAAACCACTTGTTCCTCAGCTGTTTATTTGGGTTGTTTGTTTGTTTGTTTGTTTGTTTTTTTCTGCTGTAATCTGGGGTTATTGATCCTAGGGAAGGGCCTGGCTGGAGCTCCAGGAGCCTTTGATCAAATGTCCTGCAGGCATCTAGGAGCACACTGGAAAGAGCAAACCACTTTTCATCCATGGCTGGGCAGCTTGGTGCATGCCAGTGGGTCATGCCTTGGCAAGGGGGCCGTGTCCAAAATTGGTGCGGTGCTTTGGGACTGCAGGTGCTGAATGCTGAGCAGAGATGAGGGATGTTCCCCTGGGTCTGCTGCAGGGAGCTCATGCAGGTGCTTGGAGGGATCTTGCTGACTTGCACACGGCTGAAACTTTTTTTTTTTTAAGCCACAGGCTTTAAGGAACAAAAAACCTTATTTTTGTTACCCAGGGGGCGGTGTGATAGCTGTGTAGGAGGAATCATGTGATTTGCCAACACTAATATAGCAAAAGAGCTTGCTTTTTTTTTTTTTTTTTAAAATTTTAAAGCACAAAGTATATTGCTGAGCTGAGGCTACAAGCCTGAAATGTGTGAAGCAGGCTCTCCCTTGCACTGTAAAATAGCCCCTTACCTCTGCTTACTCAGACACCAGCGAGAGAGCTGTGGTGTTTATGAATGGAATGACTGTGCCAATAAATGATTTCTCCAGTGTCTTGCCTCCTGGCTCTTGGTTGCTTCTGCTTGACTTCAAACCACCTCAAACTATTGTCCTGTTGCTCTGTGCATTGCGGAAGCCAGGTGAGACCCTTCTGTCTTCATGCAAGTGTGGTCAGTCCCAGCCCTGTCCTCTGGCCATACTGGTGACAGCATGACTTGCGTTGACTCCTGAGGAGCCCCTGGGCATTGCTTACTCCTGGTGATGGGGAAGGTGCTTCAACATGGCCTCAAGTTGCATCAGGGAGGTTTAGATTGGATATTAAGAGAAATTTCCTTCAGTGAAAGAGTGGTCAAGCATTGGAACAGGCTGCCCAGAGAGGTGGTGGAGTCACGATCCCTGGAGGCGTTCAAAAAACGGGTAGACCTGGGACATGTTTTAGTGGGCATGGGGGTGTTGGGCTGATGGTTGGACACATGATCTTAGAGATCCTGTCCAACCTTAGTGAGTCCTAGTTTTTACTTTCATTAAAAAGTAATCCAGCCACCAAGCCAGGAAACATGAAATTAATTATTATTCTATTCTTAGTTGGTTTAGTGGTGGACGCAGTAGCGTTAGGTTAATGGTTCAGTGGTGGACTTGGTAGTGTTAGGTTAATGGTTGGACTTGATGATCTTAAAGGTCTTTTCCAACCTAAATGATTCTATGAACATGGCCCAGAGTGCAGCCAGGACTGCCCCCAGCATCTCTGTGCGCTGGCACAGGGGGTGCATGGGGAGGAGGATGCACCAAGGCATGGGAGAGCACGCCTGCCGCCCAGGGCTATGCCACCGCTCCTGCTGCCTGCAGTGCGAGGTCCATTAAAAGTTAATTTACTGACCTTTAGCCATCTCTGTTAAAATTCTGCCTTTGGGTCTGGCACACAGGGTGCCAGAGTGTGATGCCCTGAGTGGCAGCAAGGAAGCATCTGCATTTCATCTGAGCTGAGGTCTTGTGGCATGGTGGGGGAATTACCAATGTAAAAAAAAAAAGTGACAGCTAAAAAAAGTTATCAAACACTTTTATTTTCACCAAAGAGAAGTTTAATTTCAACAAGACAGGAAGCTGCACAAAGAGAGCTACCGCAAGTTTCTTTTGAACAACAGCTTAAAACTATCTACATTGGTACTTGTGGAGTAGGGGTCCTCCTAAGTAACAGTGGCCACAGGGGCTTGGCCTTGCAAAGGCCACCGAACTGCACCCGGTAGACAGCTCTGTCCTGTACCAGGACACGGGCTCTCCTTCCCTTCACAAAGGCAAAGCAGCATTTGAGGGAGGGGTGGGTAGGGACCCTGAAAACAAAAATCCACCCCAGGAAAACAGGACTTGCCTTTAAAGTGTCATTTCCTCTTGAACTAAGTCCAGCCTGATGCGTTTCCAAACAGCCTCTTCCAGTTTGCACGTCAGTCTAACCCAAAATATCCTCCTAAGCCAGAGCCAAGTGAGCCAAGGAAACCTGCCCTGGCCACCCCCTCGGTGGCTCGAGCCTTCCCAAGCCTGTGCCCGGGATCACTGCTGCCTTTCAGGGTGGCCAATGCACCAAGGCCCCCAAAGAAGCATCCCACGAGGGACAGCACGGTGCAAACCCTCACTGCCCTGCCTTGCAGAGGCACCCGGAGCTCCTGTGACGGTGCGGCTCTGCCACGGCCACCCCTCCCCTTGGGCTGAAGAAGGGGTTCAGAGCCCAGACCCCACAGTGGAGGCGGACATGGGGTTATTAGCTCAGGGCCATGCAAGCAGCTCCTGGCTCCTCTGCTTCACCACCTCCCCAGCTGCTAAAATACGAAGCTTTTGCAAGTGCAGGGTGCCATCTGCTAGAGGGCAGGGAGCTGCAATAGATGACTTTCAGCTGGGGGCACGTTAAAGTGGACAGAGCATCCCACCTCCTAGCTATTTAACATTGAAAGGGCTTGTTTCAAGCCTAGCAGACTCCTTCAGCACAACAACGGAAATGTGACGATTGCCTCTGCCTGTTTCCAGGCTTCAGGATGTCAACCCGCCTGGGCTGAGGGCCAGACGGTAGCCAGAGCTTTTTCCCCTGGATAAGGAAGCGTATTCCTCTCCTGGCTGAAGCAGCATCCTTCCAGTGCAGATAGGGAAGAGGCTGCCTAAGGAAGGGAGGCAAAACTCCAAAGGTTTTGCTCAGCTCTGAGCTGGAAAGGTGTCTCAAATCTCAAGCAAGGAAAGAGGCAACTGGAGTTTCTATTTAAAACCATCCTAACCAAAACCAAAAAAGTAATTCAGGTAAACTGTCCAACAGGAAAGCAGGGTGGGGGCGGGGGTGGAAAAAACATACTCAACCCCAAACAGTAAGACTCCGATTAGCGTTTGTAACCATCCAAGCAGATGGCAAGGGTGGTGAGGAGCGGAGTCCGGCAACGCCGCACCGTCGCCCTGGGGCTGCAGCTCACTGGCATCCCGTCCTCGTCACCGTCCCAGGCCCCGTGGCATCCTGCTGCCCGGCCATCCCCGCCGGCAGGGGACGAGGAGCCTCCTGCCTCCTCTGTCCATCCGCCGACCATCTCTGCCCCCACCCGCCCGCTGCCCATCAGTTCTCGCCCGCCTGGACGTACTCCTCAGTGGCCTTGGAGATGGTGCTCAGGTACTGCCAGCTCAGGGCAGCCAGGAGCATGGCGCACGACAGGTAGATGGGGGAGTAGTGGTGGCGCGATGCCATGGGGCCGCCGGGCAAGCTCATGGCGCGGATGGAGGCAATGACCTGCTGCGTCTTGTTGGATGATGGGTCCGTGCTTGGGATCTTCTGGTAGATCTGGGGAGGGAGGAAGGAGGAGTTACGGTTCCCACCCAAGGTTGAGGAGACAAACGGGTCCACTGGGTGAAAGAGGAAGCCTTCAGGGCCACCATGTCCTCAAGAGCAACCTCAGTGGTGGACTGCCACGGAGCAAGGACCAGCTGCAAGGGATGGCTGGATGGGGCCAGGGCCCATTTCCCTTGAGAAGTGCACTAAGCCAAGCAGCCTCTTGAGGGCACCCCATGATGGGAGATGGACCACACGGCCTCAAACACAATCCCTCAATCCCAAGTAGCGCTGCTGGGACCGGCGGTTCTTGCCTGGCAATTCTCACTGCCAGTATGCTGCAGCCCACCTCAGATCAGTGAGGACGCCCCAGTGTGACCAGCAGCCGGTGTGACTGCCAGGAAATGGCCACCGCCATCAGATAACCCCATGGTCTTTGGGGTTTTCTCTCCATGGTCTGCAGCTCCCATGGCCTTTGAGATACTTGTCTGCATGAGTCTTAGGGAGGCGTTCACAAGCAGAGACTGTCTCCTGGCCTAAGATGTTGAGGTGTCACTGTCCCTTGCCATGCGGTTGGCCAGTCCACAAAGGGAGCTCTAATAACCCATGGTTTGGGGTCTCCCTGGTGCAGAAGTAACATCTTTTTATTTAACAGCCCTCGCTGGATTTGGGGTTGAGTTTTTTTTTTTCCACGAAACCACCAACCACGGAAACTTTTAACCTCCACAGTACCCTGAAGTTGGGAGTCCCACTGCTTTAACCACCTCTGAGGAGCTACCCTTATTTACTGTTGGTCACGCAGCACAAGGAAACAACCACCACATCATGCTGCCAGCTGCAACTATAGACACAGAGGAAACAAGACTGCTTGCTGGAGCAGCCCATGGGGAGATGATGCAACCTGTTCAGAATTGTGTTGTAGGAAAGGTCCTCTGTGTCTGCTCAGCCCAGGTGAAGCCTGTGACAGCTGGCTCCTCTGGTTCTCCACCAAAAGGACTTCAGTCTCTGCCTCTCAACACAGGCACAGACCAAGTGTACATTCAAGGGAACACATCAAGCACACAGTTTGGTCCAAGCCAAAACCATGTCAGGGTCACCGTGCCCTGGCACCACTGAACTGACTAAGAGACATAAGGAAAGGATTAACAGACACTGGGAATGAGGATGGGACCAGCCAGAAATTACTCAAAGCAAGCTGCTCAACCTACCTCTTCTACATACTGGTACATGATGGCTTTGACAGCTTGTATGTTTGTGGCATCCATCATTAGAGTGACAGCTTGTCCCTTCCGGATCTTCACGACACCCCTGAACACCTGCTTGTTGTTATAGCAGGCAGCCAACGTGGCGATAGCCATCACCTAAGGAGAAACACCAAGAGCCCTTACTGCGTTGCGAGGCATCTTGCCAAGGGAGTAACCTTGGCTCTAGTGAAATCGATGGCAAAACACTCTGGAGTGGAGCCACGATCTCACCGACAGCAGAAACGGGAGGTATCATGAAAGAAGAAAGAGACCGAAGAGATGGAGACTAAAACAGGCTCATATTGACATGATACATAACCTCCTTCACCCGACTTCTCATCAGCTGGGCTGCAGATGATGAAGAACCACTTGAAAACATAACTCACCTGGGGGATAGCGCAGAAATTGAAGACGCTTTGGTTTTTCAGGCGGGATAAGTATGTGAGGACATCAGGGACATGGTGGAGGGCGTTGGTGATGAGCTCATTCAGACACTGGACAGCCATATCGATGTTCTCTGGTTTGGCAAGATCTGAGAGCTTCTTTGCGTATCTGCTCCAAACCTAAACACCAAGATAAGGACTCACAAGTTGGAGGGTACATTCATGCCATAAGAGACATTAATAACAGTCTGAGGTCTGGGAGAGCAACAAGAACCACCAGAGACCCATGAAAGCCTTGAAGGATTTGGGCTTGCTAGGCTAAAGGAAAGACGGAAGGGCAGGCTCTGGAGACATGACAGTGGCCTTTGTATATACAAAGGGATTGTAAAGAAGAAGGATACTTTTTTTTTTACACTTTTTTTTTTACATTGGTAATTCCCCCACCATGCCACAAGACCTCAGCTCAGATGAAGAAGAAGGCAGTCACCGAGGCGAAGGGCTCCGGAGCGGACGCTCGTGCCGGGGCACCCTTGCTGAGGCGGCAAAAACAAAGCGCGAAGGGCAGGAGCGGGCAGCCCAGCCCCCTCCCAGAGCAGGAAAGAGCGGGAAAGGGCGAGCTGCTGACGTGCGGCAGCTCTGACGCGGCGTGGGCGGGGCCAGGAGTGACGGCGGGCAACCCCCCCCTCACCTATAAAAGCAGCCCCCAGGGAGCGCGAGCGACCAGGAGCGCGGCGACCAGGACGGGCAAACAGGGCGTGGCGCGTCAGGAGGGCGTGGCGCGTCAGTTGGCGCGTCAGGGCGCGCAGTCAGTTCGCGCAGGAAAGGCTGAGTGTCCCCCCCCTCCAAGTTCCAA